GTGTGTGTGCTCATTTCTCTCTTTCTCTCTCTCTCTTTCTCCCTCTCTCTCTTTGGTGAAACTGTGCACAGTGGTGTTTTGCGGCATTTCTCGTGGTGATTATGATTTTTCTAGCCACATCGGAGCCCTGGAGGGCAGTGAGAGGGAAACCTTGAGCATTTCATCCATCCTTGGTTGTCGCTTCTAGGAAAAAAATATTTTGCATACCCTGACGCCGATTCTCCCTGCAGTATAGTGGATTGCTGGCTTCTTGTCCTTCCCCTCTCCTCTTTCTCTCTCTCTTGAAGCTGCAGCAATAACCCCACCAGCTAAGGCCTGGGGAAGAAACCTGGTTAAATATGGGCTCATTTCACATTCTTGGGAAGGCCATATTGATCAAGATGGAAACCAAGACAGCTTACTCTGTCTTGGATGTTTTCATCCTCTCTCTCCTGTCCCTTTCAAGCCTGAGCAAATTCACATTTTACGAAACTTCTTGATCGTCAGAGTGAACAATACTTAAAAAGCAGGCCTTCCTTAAAAAAGGACGTCTGCTGAAGACTAAACCACCTTGCAATGTGGATTTTAGGATAGGTTTTCCAACCCAGCTCGTCCTTCCGTGAGGACCTGGCTGTATTTTTGCTCTGCGAAATGATCCGGCTCCACGTTTCTAGGTTTTAAGTTCTTAAAAAGCAGCTTCATCTTTCTTTGGAAGCAGCCAAGCGGCTAATGTTTTGCTCTGACTTCCTTTGCAAAATATTAGCTCCCCTCCTTTCAAGAGCATCTGCAGGGAGGTGGTCAAAAATAAATAAATAAAAATCAAGGTAACTTTGCAAAGAAAATTCCACCCCTTTTTGATCTGCGCTGAGTCTTGACTTTTGTTTTTCCTCATTTGCAGACTTTTCTGCTTTTGTTCCCTTGTGTGGTTCCACTCTTTTCAAGGATCTGTCGAGTCTATGAAATGAGGATGAGCATCTGTTGAGAGGGGGAGCAGTTCAGATGCAGATAAGATGTGTTTGTTTTAAGCTGGCTGGGTTGATCTCAGGCACCTCTCCAACGCATGTCAATTAAACTAGCATTGTGGGGTCCTTGTTGCTCTCGCAGCTTGGTGGTTTTCTTGCAGACCTTTCCTGACCCAGTTAGGTAACGTCATCAATGCTCTGATGGTGTTATATGGTGCTCTGACAGGAATGGTGATCCTCAGGTATGATGAAGTTACCTAATTGAGTAACAAGAAACGTCTGCAAGAAAACAACTTACTTGGAATTCTGTAAGTTGAAATCCACCTATCGTAATGTCGACAAGGTTAAGAGACATTCCTGTACATTCTTCGATTTGTAGAGTGCTTTTATTTGTTGGACTATGCTGATTGCAAAAGTCTGATAGCAAAAGCTGAGAATATTGTCATTATTCTGAAAAAGAGATGGACGTCTGTATATTTGCATTGATTCCAGGTGGGCTCCTTTTATCCTAGCACTATAGAGATCTAATCTCCTTCAAATCCTCCTTTGGTGGAGAAGAATTGTGTCCCCAAATAGCCGTGGTCATCACAATCCTGATGCTGTATCTAATTCACCATGCAATCTTGTTGTTTTTTTTAAAATAGATATCTCAATGGGAAAAGGAGGTGGAATTTTAAAACATCTGACCACACGTGTTTATACAATTGTTCCATGTCTGTCCCTGATGAAACAGTGTCAACCTGGAAATTAAATAAAATAAACTGTATCAATAAAATGACTTTTTGTTTCTTTCCATAGTAGGCGATTAGACCTGAAGCAGGGATGTCAAAATGCAGGATTGTATGTGGTAGTGACGGCGGAAAGCTCTGATGAAAATTGTGAGGGAATTGGGTGAGGAGGCTAGAAAGGGTGTCGAGGTATCTGAGTGAGAAGGGGGGCTTGGTTTATATAAGCCACAGTTAAACCACATGTGAGTAGATTCACACACTGTAAAAACCGTTTTATGCAGATGATAACAGTATTTTCTTTGGTAAGTCTCATTGCTTAGGTGCTTTTCTTGCCTTGACCTAATGGCAGTTTTGGCAAAAGCATGTTTTCAAAAGCAAAAATCCATTGTTAAAATAGAAGACACACTAAAATCTGGGGTGTGTGTGTGTGTCTTTCTACTGCAATGAGACAAAACCACACAGGAGCCTAGAGGGGTGTTTTTCAAACTTGGCCAGATAAGTGGACTTCGACTCCCAGAATTCCCCAGCCATTCCTTGCTGGCAGGAGAGTTCTGGGAGTTGAAATCCATTCATGGCCAAGTTTGAAAAAGAAATGCTTAGAGTTTCCAAGTTACAAAATGTGTAATACGGAGTGGGTTTCCAGCAAATTTGGCATTAGGATACCATTGAAAAAATATAGGCTTTCTCTTAAAAGCGGGGTCTCCTGTCTTAGCTGTCAAAGTGCGTGTTTACTCTGCTGCCCTCATTCTAAAAGTAAAAAAAATAATAATTCTGAGTTTAAACATGCCTTGCTATGAGCCATCTTCCGCAAGAGGGAGGGAGGGAAAAGTTAATTGCTTATGAGTCTAGGAATCCAATCTATGGTCATCCTATCCGGAAGTGGAGTCAGAAGAGCTCGTCTAGCCGTTATATCCATCGTCAACCACTTCGCTCTTCTGAAAAGAAACGGAAGTTGAGGTGGTTTAAAGCCGCCGTGCTCTCTATGATCGAGAAAAAACCGGAAGGTACTGTCTTTATTGACATCCGCCGGCCGGAACTTTTTGATCACTGAATTGTGTACGCTTATGGCTTTTTCCCCCTTTCCTTCTCTCCACGTATATACAGTATGTGTATATTTACGTATATTTAATTTTATACATTATACCAACCCGGATTGGATCCTGCAACATTATTTTGGGACACGTATATTCGCCTTCATTACATATTTTTATATCCGTTCTTAGACTCTGAAGGAAGGGAAAGCTGAAGGCAAGTGCACATTTCTCCTCCCCCCCCACCCCAAACCCTCCTTGCAAGGTAGGCCAACTTGCAAGAACGAGCGATTACCCTCCCCCCCCCCAATGAAGCTTCGTGGCTGGCCAAAGATTGAGCCTCTTCAGACGTTGCTCTCACTTGGGGTTTTTCCACAATTCGCGGGGCCTCTCCGGTTCTTGCTTGGCCCAATAAAGACATGGCCTGGGTGGGTCTTGCTCCTGAAAATCCCCGCGTGGCACTTGAGAAACTGGGGTGGGTTTACTGCTGAGTTAAAGGAATGTTTCTATATATCCCCCCACATCCCTTTCTCTCTCGTCTATCCACCCATCCATATCTGTCTGTCTGTCTGTCTCTGTCTCTCTCTCTCTCTCTCTCTCTCTGTGTGTGTGTAGGTAGGTAGGTAGGTAGGTAGGAAGGCAGGCAGAGATAGATAGACATAGATAGACTGACAGAGAGAGAGACTGACAGAGAGAGACACACACACACAGAGAGAGAGAGACACATATAGATAGACTGACAGAGAAAGAGAGAGAGAAAGAGAGAGAGAGATACACATGATGATAGATAGGCAGGCAGGCAGGCAGGCAGACAGACAAGACAGATAGGATAGAAATGATAATCATAATAAACAGATGATAGATAGATAGATAGAGAGAGAGAGAGAGAGACAGACAGACAGACAGACAGACAGACAGACAGAGATATAGATGGGTGGATGGATGGATGGATAGATGGTAGATAGATAGATAGATTGATAGACAGATAGAGAGATAGAGATAGATATATAATACATATGTCCTGCCCATATCCCGCATAAGGCATCTTTGGGCAGAGTATAATTTTGGAGCATAAAGAGCTAGAAAGTTGACCAAAAGCATTAAAAAGATATTTAATTTGGAGTAATAATTCTCACATTTTCTTACAGGTGGAAAAGGATCACTCTCTGGGTCTGATTATGGAGGCTGCAGCGTCTCCTCCGCCGCTACTCTGCCCTGTGGCTTCGGAGAAGAATGCCCACATCCTGATTGGGGTAACTGGGAGTGTGGCTGCGCTAAAGTTGCCTCTTTTGGTGGCAGAGCTTCTGAAGATACCTGGAGTGAGCAGTTTTTCATTGTTTTTATTGATTTGTCAAATTTAGAGACCCCTCATTTCAACCCTTAGGTACAAATATTCTCCTTCATTAGTACCACTGTTCTTCTCTTTTTAGCTGGAGGTTCTAGTGGTGACAACAGAAAGTGCAAAACACTTCTATAAACCCGAAGAGATTCCTGTCAGAATCTACAGTGACTCTGATGAGTGGCAGGTCAGGATCGTTCAAACAGGTTTATTTTTTTTTTCTTTAGGGCTAAGGAGCTTTTATTTGCACCCTAATTCACCAATTTTGAGGAATGAGCTTCCTGATTGCAGCATTTCCTTGTCTTTGGAAGCCAACAGCAAATGATCTTATGTTTTATATCTTGCATTATTTGAATTGTGATTACTTGGCTTGTTCTGAGTTTGTTTTATTGAGCCCAGAAAGATCAGTAAGAATATTTAATAACGGATTGTATTTATGTAGAATGTGATGAAGCCTGCTGAGTGAATTAGATTAATTTAGGCAGCATTTTGTCCTCAGCTGTGGAAAAAGCGCACCGACCCTGTGCTACATATTGACTTGAGGCGTTGGGCTGACCTCATGCTGGTGGCTCCTCTGGATGCAAACACCCTCGCCAAAATTGCAAATGGCATTTGTGACAACTTACTGGTGAGTTACTGGTGCAGGGTGCTCCAATGTTCACCCCAGTTCTTCCTCATTAAGACCTGTGTGGTAAGCTGATGTTTCATGACCCTCTGCATTAATGACACCTGTAGAAACTGTGAGGACAGCAAGAGGATGTTGGGTGCGCAAATGCTGCACGTATGGCATCATGATGTGCCAGTTCTTCAAGATGAGTAGAAAACCAGTGTCATGTAGGTCAATGTAAGTTTATTGTAAAGCTATAGCAACAGAGTGGGGGGCACGATGACACTGAGTTTGTCAGATGGAAAGTTGACAGCTTGGGTTTGAGTCCTGAGCGCCGCGCAATGGGGTGAGCTCCCGTTCCTCACTCCAGCTCCTGCCCATCTAGCAGTGTGAAAGCATGCAAATGCAAGTAGATGAATAGGTACCACTTTGGTGTGGAGGTAACAGCGTTCCGTGTTCCTTTGGCGTATAGCCATGCTGGCTATATGCCCATGGAAATTATCTTGGTAAGGCCACATTTGGAATACTGCATCCAGTTTTGGTCACCACGATGTAAAAAAGATGCTGAGACTCTAGAAAGAGTGCAGAGAAGAGCAACAAAGATGATTAGGGGACTGGAGGCTAAAACATATAAGGAACGGTTGCTGGAATTGGGTATGTCTAGTTTAAAGAAGAGAAGGACAAGGGACATGATAGCAGTCTTCCAATATCTCAGGGGCTGCCCCAAAGAAGAGGGAGTCAAGCTGTTCTCCAAAGTGCCTGAAGGCAGGACAAGAAGCAACGGGTGGAAACTAACCAAGGAGAGAAGCAACCTAGAACTAAGGAGAAACTTCCTGACAGTTAGAACAATTAACCAATGGAACAATCTGCCTCCAGAAGCGGTGAATGCTCCAACACTGGAAGTTTTTAAGAAGAGACTGGACAGCCATGTGTCTGAAATGGTATAGGGTTTCCTGCCTGAGCAGGGAGTTGGACTGGATGACCTCCAAGGTCCCTTCCAACTTTATTATTATTATTATTATTAACGCTGGCTCCCTCGGCCAAGAAATGAACGCAGCCCTCTAGAGTGTGAAATGATTTGACAGGGGAAACCTTTACCTTTATCGTAACAGAATCTTGCAAATCTGAAAGTGATGCCATCCTCCCTCACTTTATCTTCATGAGAAGTAGAGAGGGGCCGGTCTGAAACGTTTACTCACGTTCCCTTCTTACTCCAGACTCCGATCTCTTTTATCTGATTGTGGCCTTGGTAGCAGTAGCATCTCTTCTTCCTGTCCCTCGGGGCCGTTCCTTCTACCCTCTGCCTCAGGGGTCTTCAAACTTGGCCCTTTTATGACTTGTGGACTTCAACTCCCAGAATTCCTCAGCCAGGCACGCGTGCCTGGCTGAGGAATTCTGGGAGTTGAAGTCCACAAGTCATAAAAGGGCCAAGTTTGAAGACCCCTGGTCTACCTGGTCTTTGATGTTCGTGGCAGTCTGCATCAGCGGAACAGGATGACAGCGTTGACATAGCCCCCAAAATTAGCAAGAGATCATCTTTTCCCAACCTTTCCTAAATGCGATGCACTTTGATAAGATTTTTGGATTGCCACCAAGTGAGATTTTATTGGTCCTTCTAGGAATAACCATGGGTTGCATGGACGATTTTTTGCACACACAACCACCCCTTGTAGGTAGGTTAAGCAAGGAAAGGATCTAAACAGCCTAGAGCAGAGGTCTTCAAACTTGGCCCTTTGATGACTTGTGGACTTCAGCTCCCAGAATTTCTCGCTGGCTGAGGAATTCTGGGAGTTGAAGTCCACAAGTCATAAAAGGGCCAAGTTTGAAGACCCCTGGTCTACCTGGTCTTTGATGTCAGGATGTAAATTGAGCTGTTTGAATGATGGTGCAATTTGACTGCCCTTCCCCTCCTCCCTCCCCCATCTCCCCTGTAGACCCCCTGAGACTACAAATGGCTCCCGGCTAGGCTATTCCTGGAGCACCTTCCAAGTTCTCTGCTTCTTGGTTTACTTTAGAAATTCACCAGCCCCATCCTCCATGCTTCTGTCCAAGGTTCTGACTGCATTCCCCTTGTGGTTAAGATCCTCATCTGTGGCCATTTCCCCTTGCCTTTCTCTGCAGTCGTGCGTCATCCGCGCCTGGGACGTGAGCAAACCCTTGCTCTTCTGCCCTGCCATGAACACCCTTATGTGGGAGCACCCCATCACAGCTCTGCAAGTGGGGCAGCTGAAAGAATTTGGCTACATAGAGATCCCTTGCATAGTGAAGAAACTGGTTTGTGGAGATGAAGGTTGGTGTGCTTCTCCTTCCAGGCTCATTAGAGCAGTGGTTCTTAACCTGTGGGTCGGGACCCCATTTGGGGTCGATCGACCATTTCACGGGGGTCGCCAAGCAAGGCTGTCCGCCATTTTTTTTGTCCGCCATTTTTTCCCCCTTTTCCGGCGGGTGCCTTACCTCCCTTGAGCTGGGCCGGCTGGTGGTCGGCCTGCTCCATCTCTGCCGCTTGCCAGCTACGCCTCGGCCGGCGCAGGGGGCGGAACCACGCATGCGCGGCGCTCCCGGGCAGGGAAAGTCCTCGACTGACGACCGGTTTAGTCCTCGACTTACGACCGGTTTAGTCCTCGACCTACGACCGGTTGGGGTCGCGGCATTAAAAAGGTTGAGAACCACTGCATTAGAGCGAGGTGAAAAGATACGGACAGGTGATCCTTGACTTAACACTGCAATTGACCCCTTTGCTTTTTGGTTACACAGGCCGAGGGGCCATGGCCGACATTTCAAGCATTGTGGAAAAAACAGAGGCGGTGCTGTTGGAACGGGGCCTCCTGAAGCCGAGCTGATGCCCAAATTACAGGTACTCGCTGCTTTTCACGGAATTTTGCTCCGTGAAGAGCGGATCGGGGAAAAGGGAAAACTGTAAGAAGCAGGCCGATACTTGCCTCCTGCTTTACCAAAAGAGTAGCTTCTGGAAGCTTGGAACCGACTTCCAGTGGGAGACAGTGGGCCATTCCTCAGAAACTGAGTTTAAACACGCTTGGGATAAACGCATCTCCATCCTCCGATTAAAATTTTAAAAAAATAAAACAAGTGAAACGATAAATGCGTAAGTAAATAAAAACATAAATAAACACATTAAGAAGAAAGCAAAAACAAACCAACCCAAAAAAAACCCCCTCTCAAAAGGTAGACACAATGGACTACTGGGTCTTTTTCTGCCATCTGTTTATTATGTTTCTGCGTTTCCACAACTCTTAAAATGCACCTCCAGCGGGTTGCTCAGTTGCTTCTGTTTGACCACCTCCGTTCTCGTTTCAGCCTGAAATTTTGCACCTCATCTAGGCTTTTTTTAGGCTGGGCTTCGTCTACACCAGGGGTAGTCAACCTTGGCTCTTTTATGACTCGTGGACTTCAATTCCCAGAATTCCTGAGCCAGCTATGCTGGCTCAGGAATTCTGGGAGTTGAAGTCCACGAGTCATAAAAGAGCCAAGGTTGACTACCCCTGGTCTACACTCTGGGCTTCTAGAGGTTTTTTTTTTAAGAAGAGAAGGGGGGGTCAAGATGCACTGATTCAGGCAGGTGTCTCTCTCTGAATCTCCTGCAAAGTTCACCTCCCTAATTATTAGGCAGCTCACCCCAGAGACCCCCAGAGATACGCCTGGCAAGGCAGAGGTAGGTCAAAGGTTTTGACCTACCTCTGCCTTGCCAGGCGTATCTCTGCAATCCGCTGCTGGAATCAAGGGACCACCACCACCCCCCCGGTCCCACATTCCTTTCGGATGAGGCTCACGGTGCGTGGGGGGGGGAGAGACCCAAGGCCCCAGATTGTCTGGGGAAGTGACCCTCAGGAAGACTTGCCCTTTGCTCTGATGGGCTCATGGTGCGAGGAATGCCGACATCAAAGGGGAAACAAACAACGCCTCTGTCAGTGTGGGGCTTCTGCCAGAACACAAAATGTTCTTAGCATGTTGATTTGGGGCTGCTTTGCAGGCTGGGGAATGAGGTGGGGGGGGTGGGGAAGCCCAGGAATTCGTTTACCAAGAAAGAGGATCTATCTTGTGAAAACACTCCCAATTCACAATCAACAACTTGTTACAGGAGTACCGGGAAAGGGGATGGATTAGCAAACGGGAGCCAAGCTCGCTTTTTTTTAAAAAAAAAATCTGTGTCCATGGATGGGTCAGTGGCCTGTCACATCAAACCAAAGTTTATTCACGTGTCCCTGGGTGCATTAAAAAGATAAAAAAAACCAAGCCCAATAACTCATCCCCCCACTTACCCAATCCCGGCAAACAGCTATCAAAACGTTGCCCTGTGATAAGATGGGCAGCCTATACATTTTATAAATAAATAGATAAATAAAAATATCAGAGACCTTTTCATTGTAATGCTTGGTTCCAGGACCGCTATAGGTCGTTCTCTACTTACGACCAGTCGCTTAACAACAATTTGAAGGTAACGATGGACTCGAAAAACTTACTTATGACCCATCCCCAAAGTTATAACAGTAGCACTATCCCCACAATCATGTAATCACATTTGGGTCACTTGGGAACCAGCTTGCATTTCCAACTGGTTGCGGTATTCCACCGTCACGTGATCTGGCAAAAACCAGGGGGGGGAGAAATCCATTGGATAAGCTAAGTGAGGGTTTGACAACCATGTCACTCACTCACCAACCCATGATTTGCTTAACAACCATGGTGACTCAAGACCGCAATGACTTACAGCCAAATTCTAGGCTTAATTGTCATAAGTTGAGGACCACCTGTACAATTTTCCCAAGGCTTGAGGACTCAGGTGAAGGATACTCTTTTGGGAAGATGGCCAAATGTTAATTTCACATGCCCAAATTCTCAGCTTCGGTCCTAAGTTAAAAGATTGTCTAAAGACTGAAAGTTAAAACGACTACGACATACATTAACTAAAAGTTATTGATAAATGTTAGAAAGTTACTTTCTGTTTGATTGACAGAACAAGAATTGTATGAGTTAAAATATGAGACAGTAGATATTAAGGGAGAAAGGGAGGGACTGGGGATTGTAACAGTTTGAGATCTGTATTAATGATATCTATGTGTAATAGAATTATTGTACCCAGCCGCCACGTTGCTTTCAAATATTTAAATGTAATATTAGAAAATCAAATCAACCTGTGGCCAGGTTGCTTAAGTCTTTTACTGGGTTTGTGAGGTTGACCAACTTCCCATGCAGTGACCAACATCTCACTGACGTGAGAAAGGAAAAGGTCTACGCATCTGCATAGCCAGATTGAGGAAAGCTGGCTTAAAAAATTCCAGGACTGCCTTTTTTGTGATTAAAAAAATAATAATCATAGTTTCATCTCTCCAGCAGCTGCTCACGCATTTTTTTTTTTAGTCCTCTTGTAAGATGTTTATGAGGTTTGGAAAGCAGTGGTATACTTGGGGACATGACTCAACTCAATGCATTGCATACGCAACTTCCCAATCCTTGGTTATCTTTGGTCAAAAAGATCAGGTGACCAGTGAGCAAGCATCTGATGAGGCCGTCACCCCAAACCCTTAGGTAGTAGCTGGAGGCCTGGAGATCTTTTGCCATCCAACAGATAGTGCTGGATCTCCCTCTTCACAGCTTGCTTGGCCTTTAAATGCTGCATGGCTCCCGATGACTCTGGTCTTCGGAGAGGGAAGAGCATTTTTATAGCTGTTGTGAAAAGTTGTGGTCCAAAGCTCAAAGGTAAAGGAAGGTCATGTTTGGAAACACCACCACGTGCCAAGTGGCCTTGCAGAGGGTAGCCAATGAGGTTGACTTTTCATAAATGTTGACGGATGTTTGTCAGCCCAGTTGCGCAAATGGGATCTGATGATCTGCAGGTCATCACACGGAGCTGAAGATAAAAAGCTCTTTGCCTTCAGTCTGGACATGCTGGGGAATGTTGCGCAGAAGATCTGGTTGTGCAAACCCACCATAGAGCAGGCTGGCAAGAGCCAAAATGAAAGGGTCTCTTGAGTTGTGACGTTCCAGCCCTTCTCCTATCTGAGAAAAACAGCCAAGGAGAATCCTTAGCGGGCCTATTCCATAGAAGGTGCTTCAAAATATAGGTAGTCCTCGGGTTACAACAGTTCGTTTAGTGACGGTTCAAAGTTACGACAGCACTGATAAAAGGGACGACCATTTTTCATACCAGCGTTGCAGCATTCCCCAGTGATCAGAATTCAGACGCTTGGCAGCCTGATTCCCATTTATGACGGTCGCAGCATCCCAGGGTCACCTTCTGACAAGCAAAGTCAGATTCACTTAACAACCATGTCACTAAGGTAACAACTGCAGCCATTCACAACAGCTGTGGCAAGGGAGGTCGTAAACGGGGGCAAACCGCCCTTATATATATATATATATATAAAATAGAGCTGGAAGGGACCTTGGAGTCTTCTAGTCCAGCCCCCCGCTTAAGCAAGAGAACCCACATCATCTCAGACAGGTGATTGTCTAGTCTTTTCTTAAAGATCTCCAGTGATGGGGATTTCTGGGGGGAGCCCTGAATAAATGTCTCACTTGGCAACTCCTGTCGATGTACGGAGTTCAACTGTCCCGTTTTCAGCAATGGCCGTAATTGATGGAGAAGGTGGAGGTTAATAATAATAATAATAATAATAATAATAATAATAATAATAATAATAATAATAATAATAATAATAAAAATAAAAGTTGGAAGGGACCTTGGAGGTCATCTAGTCCAACCCCCAGCTCAGGCAGGAAACTCTATACCATTTCGGACAAATGGCTGTCTAGTCTCTTCTTAAAAACTTCCAGTGTTGGAGCATTCACCGCTTCTGGAGGCAGGTTGTTCCACTGGTTAATTGTCCTCACTGTCAGGAAGTTTCTCCTTAGTTCCAGGTTGCTTCTCTCCTTGATTAGTTTCCATCCGTTGCTTCTTGTCCTGCCTTCCGGCGCTTTGGAGAATAGCTTGACTCCCTCTTCTTTGGGGCAGCCCCTGAGATACTGGAAGACTGCTATCATGTCCCCCCTTGTCCTTTTTTCATTAAACTGGACGTACCCAATTCCAGCAGCCATTCCTTGTATTCTTTAGCCACCAGTCCCCTGATCATCTTTGTTGCTCTTCTCTGTACTCTTTCTAGAGTCTCAACATCTTTTTTACATCGTGGTGACCAAAACTGGATGCAGTATTTCAAGTGTGGCCTTACCAAGGCCTTGTAAAGTGGTACACTTTAACACTTCAGGTGATCTTCATTACCTTCAGGGCCATCCTGGTTGCAGAAAACTCTGTCTCTCCAGCAGATGGCAGTTAGGAGCTGGTTGAGAAGGTGTGTGGCTTAAAGAGTGGGGAACTGGGGCTCTCTCTAGATCAGTGTTTCTCAACCTCCGTTGCTTTTAAGTTGTGTGAACGTGAACTCCCACAATTGTGATTTTTTTTTTTTTTTTGCAATGCTGCCTCGGGAGAATACCAGGAGCTGTCATTCCGAGGCTCCGCTTTTGCTGCTGTGTGAAATTATCCCATGAAATATTAGAAAGAGCCCTGGGAACTAGTTTCTGCCTTCCTGGAGAGCCATCCCTGAGCCAGTGATCTGGGCTGGTGCAAGACCCCCAAATTTTGAGGCTTCTGATTCTTTGGGTAGGGCCTGACTCTTGGAAAAAGGGCTATCTGAATGGAATACATTTTTGGGGGGCCCCGCGTGATTAAACAACACAAGGAATCTTGAGCTATCAAAACCACCCGTGTGGTTTGCTGCTGCTGCTGCTGATCTGAAGCTGGTTGTAAGTCTCACTTGCGTGTTTGTTGTTGAGAAGGAATAATTTCCCCCCAAACCTGTGCCCTCTAAGCTTGTTAAACTGGCTGAGGTTCATGAAAGGTGG